GAATATGCATATTTTTCTTACAAAAACGCATCGATTCGCTACAGGAGGCCTTTGTTCACCCTCCGGAGCCGTGTGAGACAGTTTTTTTATGGATGGGTGCTTTTTATTGAACTTCTTTTGGACTGATGCATGCAACACCCGCTGAGTGCTTGAAAAATGTTTAATATAACTCCGACTGGATTCGTCCGAAGGAAGAAAGTCATACACCTAGGATGCCTCTGGGGTGAGTAAAACACAGTCTAATTTTCATTTTTGGGTGATTTAACCCTTTAAGGTGTGCGTGTACACTTCACATCACATGAGCAAAAAATGGAATTAAATACTTTTCCAGTAATCTCTAATACATAAATCTTCATTTCTGTAGAATTTCAAACAAATCCCAAATCCCCACTCCACACGGTTTCAATGATTTAACTGCAGTCTATAGCAGCATACCTCCTCTTGGGTCCACTTGACTTTCACTCTCCCACAATCCTTCTGATCAGCCACATCGGAGTCTGTGTCCTGACACATGGCCTCTTCCTCATCCTCGCTGTTCACACACACACACACACACACACACACACACACAGCATGTTTAGGGTTGGGGAAAACAACACTGAATCCAGATCAGCAAACTCTGGCAACAATGTGCTGATGGTGCACTGACACAGTCTGACATCTGGCCTGGTGTTTGCCACACAGCTAGAGGAAGAGCTCAACATCCTTTAACAACATCAGTGGTAACTAAATCATCTCAGACGCTCTCAGGGACGCACAGCTGGGTTGTGTGTAAAGTATCACCTCTACTAGCATATCTGGCTAATTGTTTCAATGCATGTCATTAACATGTAGGTAAAAAACTGAGGTATGCATCACATAGAAATGATCTGGATTAGTTAATAACAGCGTGTTTTTAAATTAGTCTGTATAGCGTTTAAACTGAACGGGTGCCGCGAGTTTGAGCTCTCTTTGTGTTTCTATATTAGGTGGGGTTCAGTGCATCATTCTCTAACTTAATGCCAGCTTCTCTACAAACCCAAACCTTATGTTGAACGCATCAGATGTGCTCGTTTTCTCGTCCTAAAGTCAAATTCTATTATAAAACCACATTAAACATACGAGAACAATACTCTCTATGCACTTACCCGCGCGCCCACCACGACATTTCCCTGATGTTCGCTCAAAACGCACCGACAGAACAGACTTCACGAGAACACTGTATGTATGCATGCAGCGCACAAACATCTGTGATGTTAATGAGCTGGTGGATCAAATACAGTACACGCTTTCATTAAAAAAGCGCACCGCGCGCCGCGAGCTAATCATGTACTGCTGCGCGCCCAAGTTTCTATCTCGCGCTTCTTTTTCTCAGCCATTCCCGCGAGTGACGTCAGCGGACACGCGCTGCGTGCGCGTCCCCCTGAGCCCCAGACGCAGTACGTGCGCGCTCGTAAACACATGGACGCGCTTCCCTAAAAACAAATGTTCACGAGAACACTGTATGTATGCATGCAGCACACAAACATCTGTGATGTTAATGAGCTGGTGGATCAAATACAGTACACGCTTTCATTAAAAAAGCGCACCGCGCGCCGCGAGCTAATCATGTATTGCTGCGCGCCCAAGTTTCTATCTCGCGCTTCTTTTTCTCAGCCATTCCCGCGAGTGACGTCAGCGGACACGCGCTGCGTGCGCGTCCCCCTGAGCCCCAGACGCAGTACGTGCGCGCTCGTAAACACATGGACGCGCTTCCCTAAAAACAAATGTGTGCGGTAATAATAATCAGTGTCGGGGAAAGTTACTTTTAAAAGTAATGCGTTACAATATTGCGTTACTTCCTAAAAAAAAGTAACTACTTACGTTACTTAGTTACTTTTATTGAAAGTAATGCGTTACGTTACTTTTGCGTTACTTTTTAAATCTGGGCTGGGCTTGCTTGCTTGCTTTTAATATAAAAAGTTATATTTTTGGCAAATATAAAAGCCTTTCACACCAAAAGCCTCGGGCTGAAGGAAATGCTAATTCTCGTCTGTACAGTAGAACACAGAAGAAGACAGTTCAACACTCTTCTGCAATAAAAAAAGAAGAAGAAACATTAGTTTATCTTGTGTAATGTCTGCTTATTAGTGCGGTTGAATTGCATCACTGAAGGTCAGCAGCAAATAAATGGGATTAAATACATAAAGGATATGTGTATTATTTAACATATTTAATTATTGCAGCTTTGAGTCATATTCTGAGTTGCTTTGAACTGTTTTTATTAATTTTGAGGAAAACTAAATCAGATTTTGTGTGTGTGAGTGAGTGAGATGAATTAATGCATGTTCACATTTAGTCTAGAACTGAAGTAACATCTTACTCCTGATTTCTCTCAGCACGGGGACAGGAGAGCTTGCAGTCAATAAATGGGAAATGGGAAACTTTTTTGAAAAAGTAACTCAGATATTTTCTTGTAAATTAAAAAGTAATGCGTTACTAGTTACTTGAAAAAGTAATCCGATTACGTCACTCACGTTACTTGTAATGCGTTACCCCCAACACTGATAATAACAAAAGCGACACAAATATTGTTCGTGTATTTTAAAATGGCCGTAATATATCAGGGGGATATTGCTGTATGTTTCTGAATACTTTCTAGATTAATTGATAAATCACTGATATTGGTTTAAAATCGAAACATAAATATGCGTGTTAGAATCAAGTCATTCGAACGTTCAGTTTCTCACATCTTTTCTCATTATTGACCTTTTACTGCATTACAAAGATGTTCATTTAGCTTTGGGAAATATTTTAATTTGACTTCACTAAAGAGAACGAAATGACTTTATTTTGTTATCCGCCAAACGAGATATTAAATAAAAAGATGTGATTTTCCCACGTGAGCCTGTAGTTGGAGAACTACTCCTAATCAAGCACAGCTATAAATGCAAGCTGAGTCTATTATTACCAGTGTTGGGGAAAGTTACTTTTAAAAGTAATGCATTACAATATTGCGTTACTCCATAAAAAAGTAACTAGTTACGTTACTTTTTATGGAATGTAATGCGTTACGTTACTTTTGCATTACTTTTTCACTAAATTCACGTCTGTACAGTAGAACGCAGGAGAAGAAACACTCTTCAGCAATAAAAAAAACAATGAAGCACAATTGTTAGTTTATCTAAAGTCATACTTAGTACGGTTGAACTGGATCAGCAGCAAAGATATTGGTAAATACAATGGGATTAGATACATTTGATGTTATTTAACATATTTCATTATTGCAGGTTTGCGTCATATTCTGAGTTTGCATTTCACTGTTTTAATTCATTTTGATGAATAGCAAATCAGTTTTTTGAGAGTGGGATGAATTAATGCACATTCGCATTTAGTCTAGAACTACATCATGTTCACACAACGCCTCTGTACTCCTGATTTCTCCCAATATGGGGACAGGAGAGCTGTCAGTCAATAAATGGGAATACAAAGTAACTGGCGTTACTTTTTTGTACTAGTAAAGTTACTTTACTAGTTACTTGAAAAAAGTAATCGGATTACGTAACTCGCGCTACTTGTAATGTGTTACCCCCAACACTGATAATTAACACCACGCTTTCCCAATGGATGCAGGACGTGACAGACCTGGTCAAATCCGAATGCATACATCTATATAAAGTCATTTTACCTTTTAAATTAAATCTAGCAAAACCCTTTTCTACGGTAAATTCTAAACACTGCTCATTTTCTAGAGCTGACCAGGAGCTATGAGGGCCCTTCATTGTGAGTCTGTCTTTATCAGCGGTTTCAGCCGATAGCTTCGAGACCAAACAAAGGCATGTGCCGAGTATCCAGAGCCCAACTGTGGTGTTGCACTATGTCTGAACGACTCCACAGGCCTTTCCTCACCTTTAGTTGCCCTCAACAAGAACGCTCTCTCTCCTGGCAGCAGCCTGAGCACAGCGCTGGGCAGTCCAGTGCAAGGCAAGTCCTCCACGCCCTACGAGAGTCCAGTTTCAAAAACCAGTCCTGGCCAGCTCGCTGGGAAGTGTCCCTTGTGAAGGCCATAGTCGAGAGCCCAAAGTCATGTATGGAGTCCTCTATTAACCTATCGGCCCCTCCTGAGGTCTCTCTGGTGCCGTCAGGAAGGTCCCCTCACCCGAACGTTTCAGAGTAGCTTCGGCGCTCGTGGAGGGAAATGGTCCGGCAGGGATCTAGGCGGGTTCCTACGATCCCAGATCTCCGAGAGGAACAGAGCTCCTCTAACTCGGAGGTATGTATGTGCACTAATGCAAACCCTGGAAAAGCTTGGTTTGTTCTAATATGCGTCTTTATTTTACAGGCTTCTTACTAGAGGACCCATGTTTATATAAACGTATTTTTGTACTATAAATGTATTTAATCAAAAAATAAAGTGTGTAGAAATTACTTTCATTTATTAATGTTATAAAAGTGTCTACTCAAATCGATGGCTCTTTGTGAGCTTGCACGATGTTTAAGAATGTGCAATTATTATTTCGTCCACTGTGGAAATGTGGGCTGAAGAATACAGTGACAATAGAGGGTCAATATAACTGAGACCTCTAATGAAAATGCTTCTATATTGTGTTATTTTCTAAATTAATTTGTGCCTGTCTGCTGCTGTTGTCCTGGGACTCTGGGGTGTCCAATCCTGCTCTCTGAGGGCCAATGTCCTGCAGATTTTAGCTCCAACACACTTGCCTGGAAGTTTCTAGTGAGCCTGAAGCCTATTATCTTGATCAGTTGTGTTTAATTGGGGTTGGAGCTCAACTCGGCAGGACAGCGGCCCTCCAGGAACAGGTTTGGACAGCCCTGCTCAAGAGTCACCTGGCATTTAGGGTCAGCTGACTGGCTCACATCAACCTGGAAATAAAAGGAGGCAATGTAGCGGATATTTAGTGTGTACTATACTTTCTGGAGGTCCTGCATCAATGAAACAAATGAGAACGTAACCTTTTTCATTCAGTGCCAGATTTGTTTTTGGTTTTTTTCACAGTGACGTAAAGCAGTGCATAATCCTTAAAGGGTTAGTTCACCCAAAAATGAAAATTAGACTGTGTTTTACTCACCCCAGAGTCATCCTAGGTGTATATGACTTTCTTCTTTCAGATGAATCCAGTCGGAGTTATATTAAAAATGCTTTTTGATCTTTTCAAGCTGTTTCATGGCACTCAGCAGGTGTTGCATGCATCAGTCAAGCGGTTTCATGGCACTCAGCAGGTGTTGCATGCATCAGTCCAAAAGAAGTTAAATAATAAGCGCCCATCCATTAAAAAAAAAAGTGTCTCACACGGCTCCGGAGGGTGAACAAAGGCCTCCTGTAGCAAATCTATGAGTTTTTGTAAGAAAAATATCCATATTCAAAACGTAATAATCACTTGAATCTAGCTTGCGCTCACTGTTGTAAACTGAAGCAGCTCCGGGCGGATGACGTATGAGTTCAGATTTGCGCCGCTCAGAAGTGACGAACGCACGCGGAAACAATAGCGTCTGTCTGCTGAGAGATCAAAACAAAACAATGGTCACTAATTAGAAGTACAAAACGAGGATTTGTAAAGAAGAATGTCGGAGGCTTTCGATATAAGCCAAGAGGAGACGGGTTTTTCTTTTTTAAAATAAGGAAACTTTGCTTCCTTTGCTCCTGTTAACAAACGTTGGACTCACCGGCGCATGCGCAGCACTGAACTCATGCGTCATGCTCCCGGAGCTGCTTCTGTGTACAACAGCGAGCGCAAGCTAGATTAAAGTGATTATTACGTTTTGAATATGGATATTTTTCTTACAAAAACGCATCGATTCGCTACAGGAGGCCTTTGTTCACCTCCCGGAGCCGTGTGAGACACTTTTTTTTATGGAAGGGCGCTTTTTATTTAACTTCTTTTGGACTGAAGCATGCAACACCCGCTGAGTGCCATGAAACAGCTTGAAAGATCAAAGACCATTTTTAATATAACTCCGACTGGATTCGTCTGAAAGAAGAAAGTCATATATGCCTAGGATGCATCGGGGGTGAGTAAAAAGCCTAATTTTCATTTTTGGGTGAACTAACCCTTTAATAGCAATCTCAAACATGGGATTTGGACCCCAATGTGTATGTATACAAATGCTCCGACATGAGAAAACGAAGCTCATATATTTATTGAAAAAAACAAAACTATTGTTACAAGAAATGTAGTGGATTCTTTAAACCATATGCCTGAGAAAGTTCATAATGAAGAAAGTTCTGATAAACCACACCTGACTTTTCTTGCACTGGAAGTAAAGCACGTGTGGTTTGTTTGCAGTTTGAGTGTCTATACTGTGCATATTCACACAGGTCTCAAAAACAAGTCCTTGCTGCAAAACTCCAGAGATCCGTGGCCTG